AGGGTAGTGAATGTTCAAGGCACTCCTGAAACCGTCTTCACAGTCGTAGTCACGAATGAAGGATGCATGGGTCGTCATTCCTCCGCGTCTCCAATTTGCGCGGTCGGCTACGTTACGTTGCGAGGAAAACCCAAAGCGCGTACAAGACTCGTCGTAGACACTGTTGAAGTCCACGTCTGCTCGTCGGAACGTGTGACAGAGGGAGACGAACGCGGCGAGGTCTGGATGTCAGGGAAGTGTATGATAACTCTGCAGAGGATTCGGTGACACGGGCCCAGCCAGAGCTGGCCCCAGGGGGCTCCGCATCTCGTAGCATTGCCAGAAAATACACGTGTTCGCACACTCTGCTCAGATTTATCGCAGCCGTTTTTGCTTTACCGTTATATATTTTACGAACAAAAAAAATACTGTTATATCGCTAAAACCATCGGCACATGTTGAAAAAAAATAAAGAAAACAAATTCTTCGGGGATAAAATATGATTTTGAGAGTCGGGTTATTATTGTAATCACGACTATCACGACTATCGTGAAATACTCTTGGGTTTTTTCGGTAAAGTCACGTAGGTAAAAAATATAATTAAAATTAATAAAAGTAAAATAATAAAAAATCACGACGTTTCGGAGGCAACACAAGCTTCCGTCTTCAGGTGGAACCGTCACAGCACGATTGCTGTATCAAGTAAATGGGTGCTGCTTACGTAGTTTCAACACTCATCGACATCGGGCAATAAAAAAAACATTTTGGTGGAGCCCAGCCTGGCGCGGCCCGCAGGCTCACCGACTCGCCTCGTCGCGGCGCGAGGTCACGGTGGAGGGGTCACACGCGGAAGGGCCTTGTCGCTGTCGCGGTAACGCGCTCGCTGGGCCGGAGGCGGTCGGACAAAGCCGCTACGTACTCTTAGGTTCTTTCGGTAAAGTCACGTAGGTAAAATAATAATAATAAAATAATAATAAAATAATAATAAATGAAAATAACTAAATTAAATCACGACGTTTTGGAAGCAACACAAGCCTCCGTCATCAGGTGTAACTGCTCCAGTAAAATTACTGTAGCGTGTGATTTTACTGGAGCAGTTACACCTGCTGACGGAGGCTTGTGTTGCTTTAGAAACATCGTGATTTAATTTAGTTATTTTCATTTATTATTTGTATTTTATTATTATTATTTTAACCTACGTGACTTTACCGAAAGAACCTAAAAGTATGGATCCTTGCAGTCACGAAAGCTTCAAATCTAGAATTAAAGCCGCTACGGTGCCAGGGCGAGGTGAGGTTTTGGCCCCACCTGCTCTCCACAGCGAGCCGCTGCCACGTGCTTGTGGGAAGTTCGTCAAGGGCATCACGTGTGCCTCAAAGTGGGCTCCGATGAGTGGTAGCCACAGAGTGGCGAGCGCCAGTGTTAGAGCGCGGTTGGCGTGGGCCCGGCTGAAATCTGCAAGTGATAAGTAAAGTCACTGCGGTCTTTTACACCATGGGAACCTCATTTGCCAGTAAAAAATGATAATTGTTTTTTTACCCTTTTATCTGGCAACAAAACTGACACCTTTTTACAAGGAGTCATGTTTGCATAGACCACAATACCTGCAGTCATAATGCAAACAAAAACATAACTCTGATAATGTGCACATTATCAGAGTGTGCACATTATCAGAGTTATGTTTTTTGTTGCACATTATCAGAGGTATGTTTTTTGTTTGCATTATGACTGCAGGTATTGTGGTCTATGCAAACATGACTCCTTATAAAAAGGTGTCAGTTTTGTTGCCAGATAGAAGGGTAAAAAACCAATTATCACTGCGGTCTGTCTCACTGCTGCCCATCAGTCACATTTGCTCAAATGGCTACATCAGATAAGAGGAACACGGTGCAGTTGTGCAGCAACTATTGATGGCTTTTTCGTAATGCACAAGGATGAGTGCAGCCCCGTGCCTGGCCCCCCTCCGGTCCGTAGCCCCCCACCCCCCACACCCCCTGTGCAGCTACACCGCCTGCACACTCGATAGCGACGCCACTGGCGAGCGTCGAATTCATGGGCATGCCAAGACCTGGAGGGAAAATATAACTTCTGAGATTCTAACCCGAGAGGGAGACGAACGCAAGGATGCGTGCGGGAAGCCACTCTTGTGTGTGTGTGGAGAGCGGTAGTGTAGCGGTTAGCGCGTTGCGTGACGAGCCTGGCGACCCAGGTTCGATTCCCGCTCACGGCCAACACGGTGACGATTATCAGAACCGGTCCTGGGCCTCCCCTAGGTCGACTCAGCCTGTTCCCCCGTGTTTGCTTGTAGGCTTCGCCTTGTGCCCTCCTTTGCTTGCCAGGTTACGATGGCCTGGTCCCCACCCTCTCTCTCTTCCACCCACCTCCTTCTTCACGTTGAAGTGATCAAATAAATTTATATTGTATATTTTCTAGGGTTAGAAAAAAATATCGCTCGCTCCCTGAATTTCGGGACCGCCCATTTCCCCTCGGAAGTTTATAGCTTCGCCTCTGCCTTTGGACGGTGCCGTATAGCGTTATGAAGTGGAGAGTGCATTTGGGAGGGAGGTAAGGGGGGGGGGGGAATCGTGAATGTGGACTCAGGGTTTGCGGAGTGGGGAAGGGGGTGGCGGGTGTTGCTTTACGCCACTCTGGGGTGGGGACCTCCAGCGCCAAAACGAAGGAAAAATGAGGCCCATCCTGCCAAGTTGAGGAGGGCAGGATTTCTGAGGATGCCTGCGATGCCACTAAGAATGTCAAAGTCTCGGGCCAGGCGGCCATGCCACGTCTTGCCCGTGCGTTCGATGGCTCTCGGTGCAATCGAGTGGCCCAAATAAATGAATGTTCACATCTCTCTTCTTCTCACTCTGCTCACGTATTCATACGCTCTGTATATGTATATGTGCGAAGTCGTTTACTTACAGTTAAATGAGGCCGAATCATATTAAGACATTGCTGAGAAAGTTGCAATTTTGGGATTTTGACAAACGACCAATATTAGAGACGACAAAAAAAAATTCACCAAAATTGTCCTGAGACCAAATTTTTTCGACCAAAATCATTTCGTGTATCTGGGGGGCACGAGGATTTCATGGGGGAAAAAAATTCAAATCGTCGCAGCCAAAAACAAACCCCGGCGCTTGTGCGTCTCTCCGGCGAGAGAAAAGAAGTTTTTAAAAAAATCCCATCTTGGGCGTTTTTTTTCTTTCTTTGGAGCTGACACGAATACAGTGGAGGAGGGCTCTGGCGAGTGCGTGGGGGGCTCGGGCAAGGAGCGCATTTTTGCCAAGTGGCATATTCTTTGGTTCTTTCGGTAAAGTCATTGTAAATGTTGTGGTTTCACGCTTCAAAACACCGGTGGGCTAAAGCAGTGAACTATTTGTCTTTTGTCAACGTGACGCTTTTTTTTACTGATTGGCCGTGTCGGGTGGTGGAGGGTTACGACACATTTATAAATAACGCGATCTAACCCAAAAACGTTGATTATGAGAAAAAAAATAAAATAAAATCAAAACTACGTTTCGATCACAACACAAGCGATCCAGGAACGTCGTAGTTTTTTAAAATTGTATTTACTTTTTTTCTATCTACGTGACTTTACCGTATAGAACCAACAATATGAATTCCTGCAGTCACGAAAGTTTGAAGTCAAAATCATCTCTTCGGCAGTGTCAGCTCCTTGGGTCCAAGCCCCACCACCACCAGAGATTTGATGGCTGGCCGCGGCTAACATCTGCTGCGAATCGAATCTAGCCGCCTCACCCCTGCCCTTCACCAAACCGCAGTGACCAGCGTGGTGAAGTATGGTCAAACGCTTTCGTCCCAGGAGTGAATGAATTGTAACTTTGTACGAGGAACCGAAAATTCTCGCGGATGACGGTGAGGTTATCTGAATTGACACCTGAAATTTAGTTGTCCACATTTAGCTTTATTATTCACTGACGTACGTTAAGCTGTCGAACTTTAACCGGGAAAGGATCGCTATGAATCTTGACGTTTTAATGAGGGTACATTGTACCAGTTTTTTTTGGGTTAAAATCTACAGCACACTGTATACATCTTTTTTTATATTGTGCGGGAGACTGGAGTGCTAACCTCAAAAAGAACATACTTGTGTGAGGAGCTGATCATCGTGACGTTAGAGATAACTCCCGAGCTCGAGATAGATATTACAGGGCGAAGAGATAATGCAAAGTACAAACTGTCCGCTTGTTTTTTTTTTAACTCTGAGGGGGGGTGGCTGCTTTTCTTTGGCAAATGCCTCAGGCCCCGTGCGTTTTGCCGGCCATGGCGTGCCTCGGTGTGTTAAAAAAAAAGCCATTCGTCTCCGATTTTCCGTCTCGCCGCCTGAAATTTACGAGAACATCTGCGAGCGATTAGAGCCGGCAGATGTTTATTAGACGGCGAGAGGGCGCGGAGGTTTGCTTTGTGTGATTAAGGGAAGCCCTGGCACCGTCGACATCGACTGGGTCCAAACTTTAACTGCCTCCGTGGCACTCCGCGAGCTCCTTATATAGCTCGGCCTCGCCGTCAATCAACACGCCCCGCCGACAGCGCCCGCCAATGGGAGACGAGCCAAGTCCGCGGCACTCGCTCGCTGATTGGAGGAACGCGCGCGGTGGGCGTGACCTATCCCGAACGCGTGGGGCGGGCGGGCGGGTGGGAGGAGCCAGCGTGTGCGTGACGTCACTTCGCATTAGATTCCCCAACGCTGACGGGCGCGCCGTTCCGTCACGGCGAACGCCATTGGTCGGCGCGCTCCTCGCTTGGGGCGCCTCGACCAATCATGCGCTCGCTAACGGCGCGCTTCGCCTATGCGCTCTGGGAAATTGCGATGCGCGTGGGAGGGAGGGAGGGGCCACGTTGGTGGTGGGCCCCCCAGTGGGGGGGGGGGGGGTGAGCGCGGGTGGGGGCCCCCCACAGCCCCCCCCACAGCCCCCCCCCACAGTCCCCTCTCGCCCGCCCACACGAGCGGCCGCTTCTCAGCCCCCCCCCCCACTGCCTCCCCCCACGCCGCCGCCGCCACCGGCCTCGCCAGAGCTCGGCACAGCTCCCCCCTTCATTTAAAGCTACAAACTTCGTTTAAAGCGGCGGGAGGTTTTTGTTTCGACTCCCTTCTTTTAAAACTCCCCTCTCCCCACGGGAGTGCATTTTCGGATAAGCACGTGTACTTTGGATACAGTGCCCGCGTGCCCGCGCGCGTGTGTGTGTGCCACGGTATACTTGCTCGTGTGCGGAATACTTCACCCACGTGTGCGGCACCATCGTCCCGGGGTGCTGGTCGCAGCAGGGGAGGAGTGGCGTGCACGGAGTTTGTTAGAATTAGCTCTTCCCCGGCATAGTTTGGGGGGGGGGGGGGGTGGACGACGACTTCAAATTGTTGGACACTCCGGGGTGGACTGGGTGAGCTGGGCGGCATTTGCAAGTTAGCTGTTCCCGTGCTGCGTCTAGGTTCTAAGTTTTAAAAGAGCCCGCGACACACATGGATTTACGGGATCTGCTGCTGCTCCTGCTGCTGCTGCTGATGCCGCCGGTCTTCGTGCAGTCGGCGCACGGCGACGCAGCGGCCGGGAGGGCTGTCCACGACTCTCCCCACCGGCCAGGTGAGTGGGGATCATCATTGTGGTGGTGCTGCTGCTGATGATGATGTTGATGATGATCTAGATCTGTATCGCTGCTGACTGCTGCTGCTGCTGCAACAGCTGATGATGCTACCGAGTCGAGAGCTAATTCTGCTGATCGTATCACAGCTGTCGCTGCTGCCGCCGCTGATACAAGTTTTCTGCAGCAATTGCTCTTACAGCTTATGCAGCTGTAATCACAGCCGCTGATTATTATAAACTACTCGTGGTGCTGGTTACACCGAGTCCAGCTGCTGCTACAGCTGCTGCTGCTGCTACAGCTGTTGGCAGCACGTGGAGTGGTGGCTTTTGCCGGTCACGGAGTGCGCTGAACTTCTTGTGCGACGTGGGTAGCCAACCGTGGCTCTAGGAGGTACGGGGCTATTCGCTCTGTGATTTAGCTGCCTTACCCAGCTGGCTACCTGTGTATGCCTGCCTATCCGTATACCCACCTACTTACCTTCCCACCTGCCTGTTGACCCATGTACCTGTTTGCCGAGCGAGCTCTCTGTACACAGGTGTTGCAGGCAAACCCACTCACCTGTTAGTCTTGCGTTTTCTACACAGCTGTCTGCCTGCCTGTCTACGTATCTGTCCACCTTAAGACACATCTGTTTAGCTTTCAATCTAGGATCTAACGTGGTGCCTACCTGCCTGCCTGTCTAGTAGTCTACCCACTTAGAGAGCAATCCATCTCTTTACTTACCTATGGAGTTGTTTTCTGCTCACCTGTATGCTGACCGACCTACCTGCCCACATAGTGATACCCATATGCGCCTAGACATACTTGTACATATGAATAGTGAATACAGTGTATGTTGGACTATACTTTGGAGCGCCACGACTTAAGTTAGTCGTGTTTTTCACCATCGCGTAAGCTGCCACGGCTCACTGATGAGTACTGAGATGACGAATCCCACTGTCATCATCATAATCGTCATCATCGTGTGGTGATATTAAATTAAGAACGTCACATGAGAAATGAATTAACATACTTTCCCCTCTTCTTGGTTCTTTCGGTAAAGTCACGTAGAATGGAAATAATAAATTATTATATTAATATAGTATTATATTATATTATTATGTTTTATTTTAATTGTTTTATTATTTCCATTCTACGTGACTTTACCGAAAGAACCAAGAAGATGAATCCCTGCAGTCACGAAAGCTTTAAATCGATACTTTCCCCTGTCATGGGAATGTGGAATTGCCACCGCTGGCTTTGGGAAAACGTCCCTTCGGTTTTGTCCAGCGCATAGTGGCACCTGATCCAGTCCGGTGTGGGCGCAGCTTATAATGATGTTCTATAGGGGCGATAGACATCTGATCTTTGGAAAAATAAATCCCCAAGGCTGATCGATTTCACTCACAGGAGCAGGCTCAGCCTAAACCTGCACGCCGCTCTAAGACTCGGGCTAAACCCAGGCAATAGATCATCATCATCATTAGTAGTGAACCGAGTAATTCACCTGCCCCTGGGCGTGTGACGCTAAAGCTGATAGAAAGAGTGAGGGGCATGTCTTGGCTGTCTCCCGTGGCAACTTCAGGTGTTGTCTCAGTGTTACCTCGTCCTACGGGTTATGGAGACGGCGACGCCGCTGATGATGATGGATCTGTGTTCTCTTTAGCGCCGTGGGCCGCAAGCGCTGTTAGCGACCGCATGTTAACGCTGCGTTTAACGCTGAGTCGACCTAGGGGGTGATCAGGGTTTGATTCGGATACCACTGAGTCACCTTCACCGTTCAGATACCATTCCACACATTCCCGGTGCTGAGTTCTCCAAATATCCACACACGGCGCAAGGGAATCCAAGACAAATACCCCCCCTGCCCGCCCCCTGTAGCCTCAACAAGTGCTGCTAGCGAGGCCGGCACGGGCACACGACGGGGTGGGTGGCCAACACCACGCCCGGCCGCCTTTGTCTCCCCAGTGGTGATGTTTAGTATACTACACAAGGTCGGTAATTGTCACCGGTGTTGGCCGTGAGAGGGAATCGAACTCGGGTGGCCGGGTTCGTAGCGCAGCACGCTAACCGCTACACCGCCGCTCCACATGGGAATTCACACACACACTCACTCATACACACATGACCTGACACATGCTGACATACAAAGACCCCTCCGTTTAGCCTTCAGCAGACTGTTGTGGCAACGTTCTGTTCGCGAGCACACTGACACACAAAAACACCCATACGCACACACGGATATTGATACACAGATACTGATATACATAGATACCGACACACACAATAACAACAGCAGCAAACACTGACAGACGCAGAAACACCGATACACAGACACTGACACACACACACAAACAAGATCTCCCGTTTCGATAACATAATTGGGGTATAGGTATTGTTAGTTAGCGAGCACCTGTCAATATAAATTCCAATACCCCCGCCATTCACCACGAAGTGACGGTAACGTCACCACGGCGCCCGTGCCAGGCTAGGTGCACTTTGAGGCCACGTGGAGGTCACGTGACAACACCCAGCAGGTGCTATGGGTTGGCTGACTGAGATGACCGGTAGATGCACCACCAGCTGTACCCCCTGCTGTGCCAATAAACATTCCCAACACACACACATTGTCCCTCTGTGCAGTGCTGAGCACTGCCAATCGACGTTTCGATTCCATCTCCCCGCGCGGCAGTTGAAACATTAGAGGCAAGTCTCTTTCTTTTTTTCAAATCCTCCCTCCTGACGAGTGCACAGCAGATGGAGTACTCCACTGGGCGGGCAGGCGTACGGTGGGGGTCAAGTGTGGGTCCGCCCGCCTCTTCCAACAACGACGTCCGGTCAAAGCGTGAGGGAAGAGCGGGGATCGACTTATCCCTGCCATAGGGACCCATCTATACCTGCCTATGGCTCCCTCCGGCGGTGGCTCGTCCACCAGGCAGCGGCGTGGTCGAGCAGTTGCGGGGCCTGCGCCTTTGCCGATGTAAAGGCGGCGGTGGGGCAATCCGTAGCCTGAGCAGCAGCAGCGCCGTGAGCGGCGGAGGGGAAGGGACCATCCATCATTGGTCCGCGGCTATTTGTGTAAAAATGGGCAGAACACGTAGAAATTGCCGGCTAATTGTGCCTAATGAGACATAATGTGCTTGTTTTCTTGCTCGCCACGAGGGAAGAGCCATTGTTTGGTGACCTCATCCCGGCGTTTGCGAGTTGGGGTTGGGGGGGTGGTGGCTTGCGTCTGTCAGGCCGTGCACGTGCACGCAACAACAACAACAGCAGCAGCAGCCCCAACTGCTGCTGCTGCTCAGGTGATTAGGCGGAGAAAGTGACCGCCACTTCCTCCACCAGGGTTGGGAGGGCAAATCGGCAGACGATTGGCTCGGCCGCTTCCTTACAGGTGTCGGCTGCTACGGATGCCCACACCTTGCAGGGGCGGGGGGAGGGGTCGGGGGGGGTGAGGAGGAGGGGGGGGGGGCATCTCGACCAGATCCAGAACGTGAGCCGCGTCTGGGGGGCGAGTGGAGTGGTCCTCGCTCGCTCGGTCCGGCGGCGTCCGCTGGAGAAGCCGGTGACCCAAGCACCGTTGCTGACCGGGGGAGGGGGGGGGGGCTCTGACCCCCGACTCTCGTTCGTCATCGATCTGACTCGCTTGGGTTGCCGGACGTGAACTGCCCGAGCGTGCGTGTAAGCGCGATTGTGGGGAGCGGCGTCGGCGCTGCGGTTCTCCGCGCACTGCGCTCGCGACCCCGGTGACCCCGGTTCAATTCCCCGGCTGCGGCCAAAGTGGGTGGCGAGCATGCACGGTGCCCATGCCGAACTTCTTTGGCGCCGTACGCAGCCAGCCGTGCGGATCGGAGGTGCGGGGGAAGGACCGCAAGTGATGTCTGGACTTCTTGCACGGCTTGACTCGGCCTGGAACGAGCACCTGGTGTACACAGCGGCCCCGGGGAGATAAATGCTGCGGGGGCGTGGGGCAGCCCACAATCACCCCTTCCGCATTTAAATGCGAGGTGCCGCTTTAGGCACTTATCCCGGCATTCGATATGGCCTCATGGGGAGGGTCTTTGTTTTGTGTGCGCGCGCTGGAAGATGTTGGTGCGCTGTCGGAACACAATGTCCTTAGAACACTTGAAGCGCAATTATTATCGTCTCTGTGCCTGTGGTCTCGCGCTACACAGTCGTAAGCATTGCCGTTTGTATCAGCGTGGCAAGTTTGTTTAGTTTCACCCAGGCTACTGTGTCTCTGTTCTCGTCCTTTGGTAGCTCACTCAACAACCACGTGTCGAGACCTCGTGTTGTAATGACCGCTCGCCGTGCCACTTTGTGGGACGTCACCAGTGGTTTTCCTGTGGAGTAGACTGGTCCCTGTCATACAAACGTGCAACTTTATATTCATTTTCTTCTTGGTTCTTTCGGTAAAGTCACGTAGAAGGGAAATAATAAAATAATAAAAATAAAACATAATAAAATAATTCTCACAACGTTTCGGCCACAACGTAAGCAGCCGTCCTCAGGTGAAGAACAGGCCTGTCGGAAAGACCACTTTAAATCAAAATTTATATTCATTTTCAACACTGGCTTAGAGACAATGAACCTGCGCTGCTGAAATCCTGGGTTCGAATGCGGATTTCAGCCGTTCCACTGATTAATCTGGGTTCTCAAGCGCCGTGAGTTGATGGTTTCAGCCCCCGTCACAAAAATACGTAATATTAAATGTGTTTTATTCACTTTATATATTCCCAGCTTTGGGGAAGAGAACACGTTTTTGGATTGATTGCCATGTGATGATCACCTCGGTAGCCGGGCATGTGAGAAAGGTGGCACCACCACCCCCTATCGTGGGTAAGAGGCAGTTGGCGGGACATCAGAAGTCGTCCTGTGATCTCTCTTTCAGCGGCTGCTCTCTGTGACATGGGGTGTGTGCTACACCGCTTTTCTCTACCCGGCACACCACCACATGCAGGATACCCCTCGCTATCCATGTGCCACCAAATATTTGCGGCGACCAGGGCAACGGTGTGCGAAATGAAGCCCTGCCCAGTTGTTCTGACTGCAGCCCCCGTGCACGCGCACGTGTGCGTCTGTACGAGCGTGTCTCTTCGGGGAGCGGTTAGCTAACTGCACTACGAATCTGGCGACCCAGGTTCGATTCCCGTTCACGATTAACACCAGCGATGATTATCTGAACCGGTCTTGGGCTTTCGCCTAGGTCAATTCAGTCTCAAATGAGTACCTGGTGCGATGTGTAAACATCGCCACTCGGGCGATAAAAGTGGCCGGGCGTGGTGCTGGCCACCCAGCCCCTCGTGTGCCGTGCCGGCCTTCACAGGCGCTGGCTCGCTAACAGCACTTGCCCCAACAGTTTGTGAAGGCTACACGGGGGATCTTTGACCTTTGTCCCTCCGTTCTTTGCGCGTCTGCAGTGGTCTCGCTGGGCCGCGAGCCGCGGGAGATGGCCCTCGTGACGCCCGTTCGCACCGACCCCAGCGGCCTCTTCTCCTCCCACCGGCTCTCGGCGGGCGCCGGCACGGGCACGGGCGCCGGTACCCGCGTCCGCAGGAGCGCTGACGCGGACAGCGAAGACAGCGTCTACTTCAACGTCACCATCTTCGGGCGCGAACTGCACCTCCGGCTGAAGCGTAACGGCCGGCTGCTGGCGCCCGGCGCCTCCGTGGAGTGGCATGAGGACGGGGAGGAGAGCGCCGGCGGGACCTTGCGCCGGGAGGCACTGCTGCACGGGTGTTTGTACACGGGCGAGGTGGACGGGATGCCCGGCGCCAGTGCCGCTATCAGCAACTGCGACGGCCTGGTGAGACGCCTGCCTGTGCATGCACGCACACTCTCGCACACTCACGCGCACACACTCACGCACGCACACTCACGCACACTCACGCACACACACTCGCACACACACTCGCACACTCACACACACTTGCACACACACTCGCACACTTACGCACACACTTACGCACACACTCACGCACACACTCACGCACACTTGCACACACACTCGCACTCACACACACTTGCACACACACGCACACACTCGCACACACTCGCACACACACTCGCACACACACGCGCACACACGCGCACACACACACGCACACACACTCGCACACACACTCGCACAAGGCACGCAGAGCCATGGTTCTCGGCCCTAACCGGCTGTTGGCAGAGTGGTGTCGGTGCGTCCAGGCCCGTTGGCTACCAACGCCAGCAACCAGGGCAGCTCACTCAGCTTGCACCGCTACCGCCACCACCACGCGCTTGGGCTGCTTAAGAAGGGATGGCCTGATCGTCCCCTAAGTCGGCTCAGCCTTAAACGAGTGTCTGGTGTGTGCATAAAGCATCGGCATAGTGCTGCCCACCTCATGCCCATCGTGTGCCTAAGCCGGCCTTAATAGGTGCTCGCTAATAGCACTGGCCCCTACGGCCCATAGTGCTACAGAGAATACAAATACATCATCATCATCATCTCCGTAACCCTCCCCCATGCGAGCTTCTCGCCTTTCCGCACCCGCGGGTGATCGCCTCTGCACTGCGTTCGTGCAGGGCATCTTGCCTAGAGCGTCAGTCCGCTCTGTTGCATTTCCCTGACGGATGGGGCCGCACTCTGCGGATGAGACCCAGAGAAGTCGAAACCGCTCCAGAGCTTAAACAGAGGCGATGATCCGCGAGGCTGATGGGTCGGTGGATTGACTGGCATTTTTTTTCTCCCATGACACGGGTGCCATTATTGCGATTCTTGATTGAGTTTTGGCACAGGTCACCTTATGGTCTAGCCAAATCTGTGTCGTAAGTCCTTCCACCACCCGACATAGCCAAACGAATTAAAGCGTCGCGCGTACACGCTCGCAACGCATAAAACGATTGTCTCGGCTTCTAAGCGGTGAGTTCAAGAACAATCTCGCCGCCATATGTACCAATGTTAGATCCGCGACATTTAACTTGAAGCTCGGCCAGGCATCTTGACAGGACGAGATCCAGGAAGTCAGAATAACCACGTCACCTGACCCGGCATCTGAAACACATTCAGGTTTGTAAATGAGTGGGTTTTCCCTGAGGAATCCCGTGATCCCAAATTTCCAGCTCCTTGAGCCAACTCCATCGCGCACCTCCTGCCGCCTGTCCCTCCACACCGACCCCCATCGCGAACCACTCCTCCTGTCGTCACGCTCCGAGACGAGTTCAGTTTTAATTAACTCCCCCCCCCCCTAGACCCCCCCTCCGCCCCCCTTCCCCAACTACTTTGTGGCGGACTGCTTCCTGTCTGTCCCCGTGTGCTCAGGTCGACAGGAATTACCAGATTTTTACCCTCGGGGAAATTAGCAACCGCAGCAGCAACAACAAAAACCGCCCGTGTACTGTATTCGCACGAGAGCGAGCGGTAATGGTAACGGACGTCTTGCAGGAAGTTTGTGGCTCTCTTAACCTTCTTTTCTCCACCCTGAAACGAAATATCGCTCAGGAATTAAATAAATTCCCTGCGTGTAATCACGGCCTGTGCCGGATTATCCTAGTGGCAAAAGTAGCTACATATGTAGCTATGGGCCCGCACTTTCAAGGGCCCCGCGCTAAATGCTTTCAGGCTATCAATTCCGGTTCAGTGATTCTGCTCTATTACCATAGTACTATACCGCCTTCAACTTTTATGAACGACTGGGTGTTTAAGGTTAGCGATTTGTCATATTATCTGGCTGTATAGCAAATGAAAAAATACAATTACTTTACTGTGCAAGTAAAACATTTGTGTTTTAGTATTTACGTGTTTTTTTTAAATTAAGGCCCCTTTATAACATACTAGCTTTGCCCGAGACTTGGATTCTTGTCTTGGATTAATAGACGGCCTACCCGGAGGGTGGTGGGGGGGGGATGCGTGACGTCAGCAGGCACACTGCCTGACGCTGCCGCATATGGGTGACATCACAGATGTGTCTATTTTATGACTTTTTGCATTTTGTACAGTGTGGAATCTACACACATGCCAAATTTCAAATTTGTTCCATGTTGGGAAGTATGCTAAACATTTCGAACAAGACACACATATTCACAAATTCCCCTTTTACATATATATAGATGCTACAGGCCCCACACTAGCTTAATCCGGCACTGATCACGGCGCGCTTCAGTTGTTACCGGGGCGAGAGTCTGGGAGCTCGGTAATTGGTAACGAGATTTTTTTCTTTCCCCCGTCCTCAAAGCTCGTTCCGGCGGCCCCGTTGCCTCTGCAGTCGTACAGTAGAGAGCAGGGTAAGCAGCGCAGTGGTGACAACGCGCGCCTCACGGCAAGAGGGGCCTAGGTTCAATTCCCGACCTGAGCGTTATTTGTGTGGAGTTTGTATGATCTCACCCTGGTTTGCAGAGTGTGCGTTAACGCGAGTCCGGTTTGTGTTGGGTTGGCACAGTAGCGGGGTACAGCTGGTGCATCTAATTGTCATCTTAGTCGGCCAACCCATGGCACCTGAGTCTGTCCCGAGACCTCCGGTCAGCAGCGAGCCTTCGACACTTCACGTGGCCTCAAAGTGCACCTGGCCTGGCACAGGCACCGTGGTAACGTCACCGTCACTTAGTGGCGAATGGCAGGTTTTGGTGTGGAGTTGGTATGTTCTCCCCCTGTTTTGCATGGGTTTCCTGTGGATCCTCCAGTTTCCTCTCTACAAAAAAACAACCATACACTCTGACTGGTATTGGCTCAAACCATTTCCCCAATGTTGCAAAATAACCTGCAAATTACTCAATTGGGAATCACACGTGTGGCAGCAACATTGCTGCAGTCTTGACACTCTGCGAGGCTTTCCTGGGTAAACAAACGTAGTAGAGGTCGTGGTAATAATAAAAATAATAAAAATCGTGACACCACGGATTGGCTGGCGGAGCGTGAACGGCTGAGCTTGAGGATCAGCGCGGCCGTGCTTGCCTGCGCGGTGCCAGCGTGCCCCCACGCTGAACATGATAAGCCTCTTCAGCCTTGTTTAGATTGGGCCCTTGCCTGGCTTCACGTTTCTGTTGATGTTTGATTTGTACGAAAGCGACGTTTCACTTGACAACAACAACAAAAAATAAATCCCCGCACACGCTCTCGATTGTAAACCGCACGCGCGTGATGCGAATGTTTGCATACAACCTCGTTCGAGATTCGGAGTGCAACGACGCGTCTGTCGATTCCTCCGTTCGTGTTGATTCTCGGGCTCGCGGTACGCGCGTGGTCAGGGACGATCGTGCTCGATTCGTACAAGTTGTACGTAACGGGGATCGGGCGACCCACGCCGCCGCTAGAGGCCGTTACGGTCGCCGCAGCGGCTAAAATAAAAGAAAGGAAACTATTTCTTAAATCGAATCGCGATGCAAAATTACGACAATTCAATGTCTTGCCCTCGAGGGAGCTGAGTCGTCCCACCCCGAGTACACGAGCAGTAATTGTACTACAGAGACGGGCTCGTTAAATGAACGCAGCTGTGTCCGTTGATGAGACCCAGAGGGGGCCCGATGGACTAAAAGTATTGTTATAAATACGTGGAGTAAATAAAGAGGGGATATTTATTTGGTTATTTATGGGGTTTTATTTCCCGTGACGTTCCCCAACAGTGGATAACGAATTTCCTTTCGGCACTAGTTCGTCACTGTCAACTTCCGTGACGACGTGCTGAGTTTGCGGGTTTCTCCCTGGTGTTTTGAGATGCTGGCACATTTAGGGTCCGTCGTAATGGTGGTGCCCAGCGCTTTGTCCACTGCTGGATGAAGGCCTCCCCGCGCCATGTCAGTCACGTGGCTGTTGTTTGACCATACTTCACCACGCAGGTTGCTGCGATTTGGTGAAGGTGGGGCGGCTCGGCACAGGTTCAGATGTCACTCGCCACCGAATTTAGCCGTGGCCAGCAATTGAACTTGGGGCTCCGAGTTCAGAGCGCAGCGCGCTAACCACTGTACCACCGCTCCCCAACTTGCCCGGTATAGATATCCAAATTGCGTTGCATTGCATCGCCGTGACAGATGCCTCCAGAGCAACCGCCGTGCTGTAAATAAAATAAAAATACGCAGATTTGTAACGCAGAGCACAGCTTTCTTTCGATCAGAGGCGCCGGAAACCGCAGGCGATCGCTTGGGAATGCAGCCCAAACCCGCGCCGGCAATCGCCCAAGCTCTGCGGTTCTACATTGCGATGTTCGGCCAACTCCATCGATGGGCAAATTGCACACGAGCCGCGTTGTCACGACAGACGTGACGGCACGAACGCGTCCTTGGTGCCCGGTGTGGTCAGGTGGGGTGAGCGCGAAGGGGCATTCGTCCGTGGGGTGTGCCCCCCGTGCACCCCGTGCCCCCCGTGCCACCGTGCGTATTCGTGGCGCCGCTATTTAGAGAGCGCCCATTAATCTTAGCGGGCGCTCGTTGCGGAGGCGGCGGCGGTGGTGGCTTAGCGCGGCGGAGGGATTTGAATAGTCAGCACCAGACGGTGCCACTGTATTAATGTTGAGCCCTGGCAGACCACTTTCTATTTGCCGTAATTAATCCCAGGCTCTCGTGCGGCTTGCCTCGTTGGTTTCTTAACGAGAGAGGTTGTCGCGGGAGCGGGAGGGGGGGGGTTGGCGGTGATGTTTAGCGGGACTCACGGTGGCTAGGAGATCTGCATTCACATCGGTGAAGTATAAACAACAACAACAGCAGCAGCAGCAGATTTGTCGCCGATGTTGGCATGCTACGTGAAGTGGGAGCGCTGCTACTGCTGCTGCGATGAAATTGCATCCACTCCATGCTTCGGTGGTTCACATCCAGCGAAGCGGCGTTCGCCAGTTGTTTGCCAATCGGTCGTTTCCGTCCGATGTTCTTTTTTCCGAGAGCGCCCTCCGATGCTTCCGTCTCCAATAAAGTTGGCGAATCGGCCCGGCCGACAGCAGCCCGGTGTGACAACGTCGCGAGATTCGTGCCACATCGCCGTGCCTGTGGTTGAGCGTGGGGAGCGTTGGCGCAGTGGGTTGCCACGTTGTGCTACGAGCCCGGCGACCCGAGTTCGATTGCCGCTCACGGCCAACACCATTGACGGTTATCCGAACCGGTCGTGGGCCTCCCCTAGATAGACTCGACCTGAAACGAGTACCTGGTGCGATGTGTAAAAAAACATGGCCACTGGAGAGATAAAGGCGGTCGGGCGTGGTGCTGGTCACCTACCGTCTTGTGCATCGTGCCAGCCTTCATAGGTGCTCGTTAACAGCACTTTCCCTAACAGTGCGTTTAAGGCTATGTGGGGGATCTTTGTCTTTGTGTGTGTGCCTGCACCGCCGGGACTCGCGGCCCGTCCCACCCTATCGCGCCAGAGTGAGAGGATTTAGAAGCGCGGGTTTTTTCGGGATGAAAATCGAGACACCGCATTTCTCGCGCGGCACTTTGGCAATCGCCTCTCCGCGTCGCGTTTGTCCGGGTAATGAAGCTGCACCGCCCCTCCCCGCACTCGCAAACGCCGCGTGGCCGTGCAGAGTGGACGGCAGGCTGGATGGGATGGCGAGGTGGTGGGGGGGTGGGCGGGTTCATGTTCGCCCATCTGGGTGTCTGTGGTTATTTGTCTCCTGTCCCTTCCGATCCATTGGCTTGTCTGTGTGTGTCTGTGTCTGTGTGTGGGAGTGGAGGTGTAGCGGTTAGCACGCTGCGCTATGTATGTCTGTGTGTGTCTGTGTGTGGGAGTGGTGGCATAGCGGTCAGCGCGCTGCGCTATGAACCCGGCGACTCGGGTTCGATTCCCGCTCACGGCCAACACCGGTGACGATTATCTGAACCGGTCCTGGGCCTCCCCTAGGTCGACTGAGCCTCAAATGAAAACCTCGTGCGGTGTGTAAACATGGCCACTAGGGAGACAAAGGCGGTCGGGCATGTTGCTGATCACACACCCCCCCCGTGTGCCGTTCCAGCCTTCATAGGTGCTCGCTTACAGCACTTGCTCCAACGGTCTGTTAAGGCTATGCAGGGGATCTTTGTCTCCATCTGTCCCCGTGTGAGTGTTCGTGTGAGCGTCTGTGAGTGTCCCTGTGTTATCTAACCCTAACCTGCATGTGTCCGCGTGTCCCTCCGCGTGTCTGTGAAGACAGACTGGCTGTCTCCCACAGTGTGTCTCTCTGTGGTCTCTCCCTGCGTTTCACTTGCACCTGTGAGCCCTGTTGGTGTCTGGCTTCTGCTGTCTAGGCTATCCCACAGACCGTGCTCTGTTTGGCGATGTGCGTGGCTTTTTATTTAATCTACGTACGTACCCGTGTAACCCCCGCGCACGTGCGTGCGCACGTGCATGTCTGCGCATCGGTCGGTCATTCGGCCGTCCGGACAGAGACCTTTATTTTGTGCGAGCACTGACCCCAATGAACCACCGCCATCTCTCTTGCAACGGAGAAATGGGATGAATATTCAGAAGGAAATTTGAGAACGGGGAGCAAAATGTTCGGTCAAGCCACGGGCACTTCACTGTGTGACAATGAACAACGCGCTGTGCCGTGACAAGAGGACACGTGGTGCAGAGGGCAAGCTCTCTTCATCGAGGGTCTCCCAGCAATGAACATTGATGTAGTGTACTGACAGCCATTAGAGGCAGCGGTGTTTATCATCGTATTGAAAACCAAAAATAGATTAATCGATTTGAATTAGTCGATAGAATCGCGATGCAGGAGGGGGGAGACTTGTCCGATCCCGGGTAAATCTGCAATAATGATGATGATGCAGAGACGGGCTTGTGAAACATATGCTGCTGCATCTATTGACGAAGCCCAGAAGGTTGAACTGGGTCCAGCAGTATTGCTTGCTGAAACAATAGGGCGTTGGGTGAACATTCGCCTGGCAGGCGTGTGCGCCGATGGACGAACACGTTATTTTAATTACGTGGAGAAAAGACGGTGAATAATAATTTATTTTTACTCTAGAATTTTCCTGCGATAAACCATGACAATTCAGTGAACCGCAAGAGAGGGGGGGGGGGGAGGAGTGGGGTGGGGATATTGAAGCTATTTAACTAAACTATTTGTTCTTTTACCAAGTAAGGCCCTCCTGAGCTATGTAGCACTATTCAGAAGCGACCTGGCCATCACAAATGATAGCTCAACGAAGTGGATTATCGTCGCGTGGGAATTTACGGCAGCCGAATACTCTCAGCGCACGGTCATTCTAAATGCGGAGAAAAAAACCGGAGGGCCCCCAGAGAACAGGCAAACTCCAAATATACAGCAGCAGGCGTCAGGGTCGGGATCGAATTTACGACCTCCTGCATACCTGGCGAGGTAGTTCACATCTCCTAGCCACCGTGATGATGGGAGAGAGAGAGACACGCAAACTCCAAATATACAGCAGCAGGCGTCAGGGTCGGGATCGAATTCACGACCTCCAACATACCAGGTGAGGGAGTTAACATCTCCTAGCCACCGTGATGATGATGAGAGAGAGAGAGACATGCAAACTCCAAATATACAGCAGCAGGCATCAGGGTCGGGAACGAATTCATGACCTCCTGCATACCAGGCGAGGTAGTTAACATCTCCTAGCCATCGTGATGATGGGAGAGAGAGAGAACACGCAAACTTCAAATATACAGCAGCAGGCGTCAGGGTCGGGATCGAACCCACGACCTCCTGCATACCAGGTGAGGTAGTTAACATCTCCTAGCCACCGTGATGATGGGAAAGAGAGACACGCAAACTCCATATATACAACAGGCGTCAGGGTCGGGATCGAGCCCACGACCTCCTGCACACCAGGCGAGGCATTAAACATCTCGCCACCACTCCATCTCGTGGGGGGGGGGGGGGGGGGGTATACGAGGCTACCTCCGTGTGCAAGCGAATGGATCCCGGCCTTATTTTGAGCAATCGCCACGCTTTCCTCTGTCATGGGCAAAGCCACGGGAAAAGAAGCCGAGAGGTATTTTGAATGCAGGTGAAGGCGGTGGACGCTGGGAGAGTTATGGAATGATTTTGTAGAGCAGGTAAGCAGCTTGGTACTCGGAGTAAGACGGTGCTGTAGATGCAGTTCGGAAATAGAGGCTGCGATGGGCGGGACACGAGTGCAGGGTGAAGGAGGGCAGGCCACCGACACGGGCATCAGAGTGGCACCCAGAGGTCGGTGACCTCAAGTGGTTTTGACGAGTCCGTAAGAGAGGTCCCTCGAGGTTGAGTGTCGGGTTCGTGACATCGAGGGGATCTAGCAGGAGGGAGGAAGCGACGACATAGTGTCGCACGATCGCCGGCGTTGGCCGTGACGTCCGCTCGACTTGACCTCTGCTGCGAGCGTCCAATCGACGGCTCTCGCTCCGACGCCCTCCGCCGCCCGCCCGACCGCCTCCCGGGCTGACCCCTCGACCTCTCGCCCGCAGGCCGGCCTCATCCACACGCAGGACGACGACTTCTTCATCGAGCCGCTGGAGCGAGGACGTCGGGCGGAGGAGACTGAGGGAGGGGAGGGAGGCCGCACGCACGTCGTGTACCGCCGGTCCGCCGCTGCCGCCGGCGCCTTCCCGCACAACGTCACGTCCGCGCCAGGCCCCGCCACCGGTACGTCGACGCCGCGATCGCGCCGCCCTCGGCCCGGGGTCGTCGGGAGCCATTGAGCCACTTGCTGCTCCTTATGCTGTTGTGGAGCGCGGACGGCGGGCGGCTCGCCGAGCGTGACGCGGTGCTCCGTGTGCGCCGCGTCACGTGCGGTTTGGGTGCCCCTCCCTCGCTCGTCCCACGGGGCCTGTGGCAACGAAGAAACAAACAAACGTGCGGACAGATGTACGCACGCGGGAACGAAGTGGGATGGACGCGTGTGTGTCATTACCTTTGTGCCAGTGTGTGTGTGCCCGTGTGTTTTCCCATGTGTGGCAAAGTGCTTCTGGTTTGATTGCCATGTTGTGATCGCAACCACCTCGGGTGGGTCGTCACTTGTCTCCTGGGGATAAAAGAAGAACCGATTCAAATAAACGAGCGGCTCTCATCTTGTAGTTGCACCCCTTGGCTGCTTGACCTCTGGGCTGCTTGACCTCTGGGCTGCTTGACCTCTGGGCTGCGTGACCCCTGGCTGCGTGACCCCTGGCTGCGTGACCTTGGACTGCTTCTTGTACATGTCACGATATTGCATCTCGCCTACACTTAGAGGGTGATGCATCGTTGCTGTGGCTAGCATGCTACGCTATGGATCCAGCCACACGAGTTCGACTCCCGTTACGGCTAACATCAGTGGCGAGCGATATCGGAACCGGTCCTGAGCTCCCCCTCTCACCTACCGCCGTTGACCAGCGTGGTCGAGTACGGTCACACGAACCTCGAGATCGACGGACCGTGAAGAGGCCTTCATCCAGCAGTGGGATTGATAATTACACCGCTCCAGTGACATCACAGCATTGGCATCGCTTCAAATGCATGGGAGTGATGCCACGGAAGTGCTCGAGTGGCCACGCTTTGCCACGACTTTGAAATCTTTTCCACATTAATGAGGTCTCGGACTCTCGTGGTGCGCGGGCCAGGCCGCACACGACGTACCTCGGGGTGTGGCGACAAGATAAGAGCCGTTTGTCGTTGCCTCGGTTTACATTCCTACGCGTCGGTGTCACCGTTACGGCTGCCGCCGCTGCGCTCACTCCGTAATCCATGCGGCACGCAATGATTCACCGGCCCGGCGAGGGAGGGGGTGGGGAGGTGTCGCGGTTCAATTTAGAAATCGATTTACAAACATTGCCTCGTTTTTACCATCTCGATTGTATTGCTTCTCCTCGTCTCGTTGGTCTTGTCGGCCTACATCTAACAGGGAGCGTGTTGCGTTTTTGTACGTTGTTTGGTAACTGGGTTAGAGCCATTAACCTGTTTAATTCACAGGTTGCCGACATCCAATGGCAGAGCCAGGATTTTCAGGTAGGGGGGGCAACCCCTCCAGCAATGAAAAATGATAGAGGAGTTGTTAATAAGTAAGGAGTTGTTCGTAAGTAAGGACTTGTTCCTTGTTTTTTATTCGACGCGTGTGCGGTGATGGCCCAGCCATCGACCGAGGGTCAAATTCGAACCGCGTTGTGTGATCGGCATCACGCTCGCTGAAGGTGTTTGCCTTTAGTGAAGTCGTGTACTGAATACGCAACTGCGCACAATTCTGTGAGTCACTAATAACTGCTCTGCCGTTACTTATTATTGCCAATTATGGACTCAGACTATTGTCCTGTCATCTCATAGAGTCCCAGGCACATAATAATATGCTACACAGTGGCAGTGGGGGTCGCATAATGCCGATTTATCACTAATAAACCCCAATGATCCGATCGAAATTAGGGGGATCATTGGAGGGGCACGTGGCACCCCCCCCCCCCCCCCCCCCCACCGACCTCTGTGCTCGATCCCAGACTCTCAACTGCACTGGATCAGTGCTTGGACACGACCTCGTGCGTCGCGTCGCCTGCCTCGTGTTGCGTTCTGAGCCGAGTGGATGCGGCCCGAAGCCTCGCTGGAAAACCTAGCCTGGCACGCGGCCCGAGGCCTGGCTGGGAAACCTAGCCTGGTACGCGGCACGTGGCCAAAGATGCGGTGGAGCGAGGCAGCCGTGTGGGGACGGGTCGCGGTTATTTGGGGGTCTTTTGCATTTCGTCATTTATCTCGGTGCCAGGGGTCCACTCCGGCCCCTCGCTTTGGCGCGCGTGGCGGTAACGAGTGGCGGTAACGAGGCGGTAACCCGAGAGGTGCGTCGTTAAATTCACATTGGGCGGTCTGCATGGGCCGTGAGCCGTGAGCCGTGAGCGTTCCCGACCGGGTGCGCCGGGGGCTGGCGTGGGTGCTGGAACTGGTGAGAAGTTTCATCCTCGCCGGGTTTTTTTTTCCACCACTCAACGATATTTTCTCGTAAACTTAATTTCTTCCACTGCCAGATTTTCGTAAATGTATTCATTCCCCTCGGTTCATTCATCAACTTTATTAGGCGGGCGCCCGTCGGAGCGGTGGTGCAGCGGTTAGCGCACTGCACTACGAACCTAGCACACCTAAGTTCGATTCCCAGCCACGGCTGTTATCAGTGAAGAGTTACATCTGACACCGGACTTGTTTCCAACCCCACCCGTCGGCTCCCTTCTTCATGACTTCACCATCTCCGTACTGACTAGCGTGGTGAAGTATGGTCAAGCAACGTCCATGGCCAACCAGCCTTGGGTAGGCCTTCCTCCGGCAGTGGATTGACAAAAGCGTGCACATGGTGTAATGTTTTTTTATTGGTGGTGGGTGGGTGGGTGGGGGAGATAGCGGCATTGGGGACCAGTTCCGCTATGGCTCGCCACTGATGTTAGCCGTGTCTGGGAATTGAACTCCGACCCCCGCCGGCAGCAGCCGCCGCCGCCGCGTCCCCACCACGATGCGCGAGACTTCGTCCCGTGTGCGGCGAGGGTCGCGACCGGCGGGGCACCCTCCACGCCGCGCTGCGCCGCCAAACTAAAAGAGCGGCCCACCCCCCCCCCCCGGTTGCTCGCTCGTCGCGCCTCATAAAAGCGACGCGGCGAGTGTTAATTGATTTAAATGCGTCCCACATGCCGCGGCGGCGGACACTCCCGGCCAGACCGCACTGCCCCGGCGTCTCCGTTTCACCGCTTGGGCCGCCGCACTTCCTCTCGTTAGCGGAGCCCTTCAGCGCGGTTCCAGGTTGTTGTTTTGTTTTATTCCCCTCGTCGGCGCTAGCCCCCTTGTGTTTTTCATTCGTTATTTTGTCCCATTTGGTTTTTAGTTTCGGGACTTTATTATTATTTTTATGATTTTGTCTCGGGGCGAGTGATGTGCCGGAGCATGTCGACGCGTGCGTTAGCGCGCGCGTGGGAGGCTTGCGCCGCTGCCAACCGCCGGTGTCCGCTCGTTGACGTCATTAATCTCGTTGGGTTCCGCTTGTTTACCCGGGACAGCCTCGCCGAGTCCCAAGGACTCCTTCGGGAGGGTCCTGCCAAGTTTTCGGAGTGGAGGCGGTGGCGTTGCCATGCGCGGTGCCCATCGAGTAACGAGCGGGTAAAGTGTCAGCACTGCCGTGTTTTGACCAATTCCAGTTGCATTGGACGTGTGGGGTTTTCTCTGCTCTGGTGATGCAGTGGCCGTTCTTCGTAGCACCTGGGGAGAAGCGGAGTGAGTAATGTTTACCACAAACCATCATGAAACGCCTCCTCTTACCCGCACGGCGCACTTTTGTAGGCCTTGCCCACGGGAGAAGCCTCGTTCTTTGACATCACGGGAGCCGTCGCTTCGAGCAGAGGGAACCGGGTTGAACGCGGCACGCCGAGCGCCAGGCTGGCCCCAGCAGCGGTGCCTGCCCCTCGTCTGCCCCTGGCGTCCGTGTGACTCCGGTTGCGTCTTACCTGTGCCCACCTTTTCCAGACAAGCAGGCAGTCCTGCGGTCGGGCAGTCCAAGCAGAACCTCTTGCCCTCCCCTCCTAGCTGCCCCATAGCGTCTCCTACCTCGTGGATGGTTGCCATGGGAGCCCGTGGACTGCATATTGCTAGGCCCGAGAAATACGTCTGCCTTTCTCTCTGTCCATCCGTGTGCCTGTCTGTCTGTCAATAGGCAATCTATGTGTGTGTGTGTGTCCGGCGCACAGCTCACCCACACCAGTACTAAACTCGCCGCACAGCTCAGCACAAGCAGCCCTTGGCAGACTTGTGGAGCAAGTGCTGTTGACCAGCAGCACCTATGAAGGCCACAAGACCCATGAGCGGGGCGGGTGGCCAGCACCACGCCCAGCCGCCTTTGACTCCCTTGACTGAGAAAGACATACAGACATACAGACGCACGCACACACGCACACGTGTTAACACGGACGGCTGCTGCGTGCCTGTGTGTGCGGTCTGTGATGATGTGAGCCCGAGGCAGATGCTGAGGCAGATTGACGGCGATAAGAGACCTTAATCCGTGCTCGGATCCTTTTAAACGGCCGGTTGTACTTTCTTTGCACCCCTTGCGGATTTCTCTCGTACATTTCTTTATTTTGTAATTTCAGTCCCTCGCTCCGGGCCAGCAGAAATACCGCACGTTGCCAGTCACCTCCAGCGCAGCACTCTCTCTCTCTCTCACTCGCGCGTTGTTCCGAGCGGAGCGGAGCGCGGGGTTTGGTTTGGACGCGGCGCGGCGGCGGCGTGGCCTCTGTCCACGCAGGTGTGGGCTCGCCGTGGCCGGTCGAGCGCGTGCCCTCGGCCGTCCGCCGCGACGTTTGGCGACGAGGAGAGCGCCCCTCCTCCACCCCCCCCCCCCCCCCTTGCTCGACTCGGTCGCGCGGATAGCCCAGAGATGGTCCGGGAACGTCGCACGACGCATTTCCGCGATCCGACCGGACGTCGTGGTCTCCCGATTATCAGACGTACTGCCCCCCCCCCCCCCCCCACTACGCCCCCCCTCCCTACCGAAGTATTGCAAAGTAAACGTTGGGGGTTGCAACCGTCCGGGAGGCCGTGTTTCAATCGAGCCGGGTAGCTGACGCTGACGGGCGGTATCGCACCGTAAGCCTCGTGTGGTGACGGGCCGCGTGGACCCGCGGCCTGCGGGCCCGGCGCCGGGAGGCTGGGCCCGA